TTAGGGATAGGGACTGCAAATGTGATAATATATTTTAACGACTCAATGGCAAAAATGTCTTTTCATTCGATAAAACTGTCCATTCAGTTCATGTCTTTATGTCTCTGACAATTTTTTTAATACTAAAAAATGGGTACAATTCCATAAAATGTCCTACATAGATCAAAATTAATATCATCAAGGAAATACTTTTCTTTATATAATATAATATATTTAATTAAAAAAATCATAAATAATCTACCTAATACAAAAGTTTAATGAATATGGATGATAAGCTAAATAAAAGGCCACGTCACTCTCATTATTTTATATTTGTCTTTTTTGTTTAATGTTTTTCCTAACCCACTCCGATTTTTTGATTTTTTTTTTTTTTTTGGCCCTTTGCTAAAATTTCGTTTCTTTTTATTATTACTATTACTATTATTCTTTTCTATTTTAATAAAATAAAAATAAGACTATGTACACTGTACCTAAAATTTTCTAATTTTTGTTTTCTAAATTCATATGTATATAAATTTATCCTTATTTTCACGTTAAATAAGGAGAGCCTCTTCTCTTCTAAGTTTTATTTTTCTTTGGTAACAAATTGTTGAAATTTTCTTTATATGCATTCAAGTTTTTTTTTTTTCTATATCGGGTGGTTTATTTCGTTATATTGTTATTTTTTATTCATTAAATTGTAATTGATGATAAAATATCTTATAATTAATATTCATGATTAATAGATTATAAACTATAATTAAAAAATATTTTTTGTAATTATTTATGAATTATACTCTTACTTCCATCATTTTTATTTAAAAGACATCACAAAAGCACATTATATATGTAATTAACACCTCGTAAAATATTTTATTTATGAAGAGTATTGTTAGAAAACATAACTCTCATCTTATTATTGTTTTAGTTTTTTAAATATATGGAGTTTATAGAGAAAAATGATGATAAAATCAAGTATTAAAAGTGAATTTAATAGGTGGCAATGACATGTTGATGAGTAGAAAATTAATAAGTGGCCGGAAAACTAATAAGTCGATAGGTGATGGATGGAGGTGCTAGTAACTTAAGCTTACGTGAGAGAGAACATTAGAGAGAGAGAGAGAAAAAAGAGGTTAAGAAGCATAATCGAAGTTCAAAATATTTTTTTTTTTTAGGTGTTCAAAATTCAAAAAAATGTTAGTATCTATTAATTTATTATAATTGATTTATAACTAATAAAATGATAAAATTATTGATTTTTTTTTTGTTAGATGAATATCTTTAATGACTCAAATAATGAGTCATTAGAACTATTAGAAATGGATAAAATCTCATATGCCCTTTAATGGTATATATGGTTTACCATATGCTACTTGTTATATGGGTGCTACAAGACATTTACATGATGTTTATATATTCCTTGTTATCTTATTACTAAGTTTTTATTGCATAGGTCTTATTAGAATATTCGTCATTTGTCCTAAATTGTTAATCGTCTATATTCTGGTCGTTTTTTTAATATATTAAATAATAATATTTTTTTTTACTAGTTAAATAAAAATACAAGTTTACCTTAATAATATTTTATCTTAACATAAATGGAATAAAATGAAAGAGTAAGTGATGTCGACTCATTTTTAGGCATGCAATGATTTATAATGAGATGTTCTTATTTAGTTTAAAGATTGTCATTTGTCAAAGGGTTGTTTACATACTCGAGCATCTTCGTGTTTTCCAGTTTATTCTTTCTACTTGAAGGTAAATACAAGTTTTCTCATCTTCTATCCCTTACAACATGTTACTTTTCTATTTATTTAATATGAAATGTCTACATACCATTTTCACTTATTAAGTTATTTCTAAATGACGTCGAGATGAGTTAATAATTATTATTTTTAAATATAATAATAGACTCTAGAAAAAAATATTTTTTGTTCTTTTACTAATAAAACTTATTTTACAATTTATTAGTAAGCGAGAGATATTATAATTATTAAAATATATACAATTCTTCCTAATAAAAAATTAGGTTATTGTCATTCTAAAAATAAGGTATATATAAAAAAGTATTGGTTATTTGAGAAAATTTTTTTAAAATTTTAATTTAGCAAAAAACCATGTAAGAAAATCTTTATGTCTCTCGTAAGTTTGTGATTTTTTTTTTTATTTTTTTAAACACCTTATTTTATAGGAGATAAAATGTTATTACGGCTTTATTCAATATAGAGAATAAACCTATCTCTTATCGTTTGCTGCCTCAAGATGAAGTTAAAACAATTAATATAATATAATTGGTAACATGATGGATGATGAGATAATAACATTCTCATACATAATACGAAGATTGAACCTTGGTGTTTTGATTTGGGAAAAGAACCATATCTTCTTCTTCTCTATTTCAATGACTTTCTTTACTCCCTTCCAAACCGATTTTTGCCAATAAAATATTCGAGCAAATTGATTTTTATCTTTAGTTTTGAATTCTAATAAATCGAAAATCAAAATTTTGAAGATTTCATAAAATATTTTAAAAAGTATTTGATTATTTATTTTTAAATAATTATCTTATCAATTTAAAGATTTAGATAATTGAGTTGTAAAAAAATCAAGAGGAGTTATAAAAAAAAAAAATCATATTTTGTCTAATTTAATTACTTTGTAAAAAAATAAAAACATTTACAAACACAATTTCATTAGTAATACACCTTACATTTTTCTTCTATCGAATGATCTACTGTTATTCCTCTACGCGTACCCTTCTCTGAGGGAGGGAGGGAGGGAGGGCCAAGTAATGGAATTAAAATTAGTGAAGTAAAATAATTTTTGGGATAAATATTTAATATATTTTTTTTAATGAGATAAGAATACTAAAATTATTATTTATTAATGCAATAAAAAATAAAAATAATTTAGTTAATCGCCTGAACTAAATTAAAACTTCCATTCATTATAATTTTATCCATTTCCCCGAAACTTTCGAGAGAAAATCTGAGATAACAGACTCTGGCGACGCAGAGAACGGGGGATATTCGTCTAGTGAGTTAGAACACAGAACCAAAGAGATCGATTAGAGAGAACGCAATGAGGAAAACCAACAAGGAACAGTCTGAGGATATTCGGAAAGTGAAGCCGACTAGAAGAGACGAGAGAAGGAAAAAACAGTGGACTGAGACGATTTCCTCAGCGAAGCTACTGCAGACTATCTCCGTCTGCTCTTTCGAATTGTTAAGCCATCCGATTTGGCTAGACATCGCTGGGTTTTGGAGACTGCAATCTTCACTTCTGCTCTAACTAACGGTAGTGCCTAATTTCTTATCTGTATTGTTTACCATGTGACGTTCATTTTCTCTCAGTGGATGGATTCTTGGGAATTCACGTGATATGATCTTGTTTCTCATCTGCTTGCATATCGTATTTTAGTAATTCGTGATTGTAATTAGGGAATCGGAGGAATGTTGCACGGGGAACCAAAAATATAGTTTGTTGAGAGTTTGAACGTCAGGTGTTCGGTAAAATATCCCAATGAAGTTTTCTTTGTCTTGCTTATGAGCATGCTGATTTCCTTCTTTCAGCGGTGCTGCGTGTTCTGAGAATGAAATTGAATTAAAATAACATGATACATACGTTTCATAGATAACATATATATAAAAATAAGCCTTGTTTAGGGAAAATCTACAAGTAGGAATTAACCTAAGGAGATTGTAATAAGTCCTACCAACAAAACGACTACTATGTGAGAATTAAAGTAATTCTCTTTTTAGGCTAACTTCTCTTCTTTTAACCCTTGCTGGTTGCTTCTTAAGTCGTAGTTGGCTGTTTATTTCTGTCTAACATCTTGTAGTGTTTCCATTGTTTTCTCAGCCAAAACAAATACACGGAAAACCAAAACCTATTAATCATTACTATTTAATTATATTTCCTTGATAATGAAAAATATATGTGCACACACATGGACACATACACACAAAGTTGACTTTGCATTACCGGCTTCAATTTGATTAATTTGTAGAAATCTCTTCTTCCATACAATTACTCTTGATGGGTTTGCTCTTTCATCAAAATTTTATTTTTATTATCATTCTTGCATCAGGGTTTTTTGGTCTGGTTGCAGCCTGCTCTAACGGACGGTGTCGGGTTAGTATAGATATATTACATACATGTTTTGCAATACAAGTTTCAGCATCCTTAATAATAGTATATTATGTCCTAGTTGCATTGGTAAAATATTCAAGTGGTTATAACTTGGTTTCTTGTTTTTTCCTTTGGTAATGGTTTATTCAAGATATGTTTACAGATCCAGAGGTATAGCTTTAATTAATAATAATAATGGTGCAGATACTTGATGAATGTTCATCAGATGAAGATTGTGAGGCCGGACTTTATTGTTTCTCTTGTCCTGAAGGATTTTCTGGGTCTAGATGTGTAAGATCAGCCATTACTGATCAATTCAAGCTTCTGGTAATTTCTCTTTCTCTCTCTGATCTCATATATGTATAATGATATTAATTAAATCGAGGACGTAGCTAGTGATGATGCAATTTACTCAACTAGAGAAGGAGAGACAATGGATGATTTTAGCTCGAATAATTATTAGTGTTAGCTTTGCTGATTCTTTTCATCCCTCACCTACACTAAGGCTCACAAAGTAACAGTTTGCATTCTCAAGCCATCTGGCTTTACCCGCTTATATTTACTAATGATAATCGACATATATATATGTATATTAATTGATAACCATATGTTGTATTCATAATTTCATATTGAAGTTTATATATATACTGTATAAAATCTTGCATTTATGGGTATGGTGTCCTGTGCATAGTTTGCGTCAGAAAACTTTGTTTGAGCTTGAGCTAGCACCATTTAGTGTTAATAATCTGATTGTGTAGTTAATGATCTGATTGTCTTATTTATTTATTTCGAATGTGTGCGACCAGATGTACAACCCGCCATACATGCATATATATATATATATATTCATCAATAATTGCAGAAATTCACATGTTAATATGTTATAATGAGTCTAATTTCATACAAGAAAGTGAAAATATTAATTATTTTAGTAAATTCTTGTGGTGGTTTTGTTAAATGTTTTCCAGCAAACTATATACTGATTTTTTTTGGTGATCCACAGAATAATAGTCTATCATTCAACAAATATGCATTCTTAACAACCCACAATGCTTTTGCCATCAACGATGGAACTCCAAGGTTTACCTTTACAAATCAAGAAGATAGTGTGACTCAACAGCTTAAAGTATAAATTGTAATCTCGAATTATTATTATCACTTTTTAGCACAAGAAATTATTAATTATTATCCAAAACTGATAATGTTAAGATAATTGCAGAATGGAGCACGAGGATTGATGCTGGACACATACGATTATGAAGGAGATATATGGCTCTGCCATTCCTTTGGAGGAAAATGCCACGAGTATACTGCATTTGTAATTCAAACTCTCTGTCTTCTCCAATTTAATTACATAATATCACTTAAGTTTTAGATATTTATTCTCCATTATATTTTCTTAAATATAAAAAAAGAACAATTACATCTAATGTAGGTAGAGAGATAAAAGAAGAAATAATGAGGTTAAAAGAAAATGCCACGTACTTTAACCCTCATCTCAATATATACATATACTTTCAGATGTCAATTTTACACATTTTACTTTATAAAAATATTTACAGTAGCGCTATATATATTAATTGACATTCTTATACTTCGAGAATGTCCTACATTAGGATGCTTTCTTACTAAGAGAATTTTTCCAATACCTTTCTTATCTCAATTTTCCATTGTGCTCATATAGGATAACAAAAGATATTTGAAACTTCTTTTCTTTGGAGAAGTACACCCTGGTGGTTGTATGCAAACGATACAAATGTTTGAAGTTTACTGGCGTCATTGATCAAAAAGAATAAATGCAAGAAATCTTATGTTTTTTTATATGATGTGAAAAGAAATATCTTTCACCCATTTTAAACAAGAAAGCATATATTTTGTTAGCTATTAGTTACTTTTTCTCTAATCATAAGTCACTCTCAATACTAACATAAAGTTCTTCACGGTTATGACATATCATTACTGACAAAACTCATTTGAATTCTATATGAAGCTTGATACAATTTGTTTATGTGCTCATACCTTTTTATTTGCACTTAAACTTAGTGCCGTTGCATGTATGCAGGGACCTGCAATAAACACTCTAAAAGAAATTGAAGCCTTCTTGTCGGCAAACCCAACAGAGATTGTGACAGTGATCTTAGAGGATTATGTTGAAACTCCCAATGGCATTACAAAGGTATTCACTGATGCCGGCTTAATGAAATACTGGTTTCCTCTAGCAAACATGCCCAAAAATGGAGAAGATTGGCCTCTGGTAGGCGACATGGTTGCCAATAACTGGAGGCTGATTGTCTTTACGTCTGTCGAGTCCAAGCAAGAAGCTGAAGGAGTTGCATATCAATGGAATTACATGGTTGAAAATCAATGTAATTTATGAACCATTACCCTATTACCCATGTTAATATGTTATATCTCGGCAATATCTAATGTGTAGTTTACAGATGGAAATGGGGGTATGAAGGAGGGAAACTGTCCGAAGAGAGGAGAGTCATCGGCACTAGATGACAAGAGCAAATCATTGGTGCTGGTGAATTATTTTAGGACTACTCCTATAAAGCAACTCACGTGTGGAGATAATTCTGGGGAGCTTATTAACATGCTTCGTACTTGCTATGCTGCTGCTGGCAACCGATGGGCTAATTTTTTAGCTGTTGATTTTTACAAGGTACATTTTCTAATGCTTCTACACTCATGATCTTTTTTTCTCCTAAAGAAATCTCACCAGATTAAAATATAAAAAAGGTGATTGGTAAGTATACGTATGCAGAGGAGTGAAGGAGGGGGGACATTTCAGGGTGTGGATACACTAAATGGGAAGCTGTTATGTGGATGTGATGATATCCATGCATGTGTGGTAAGTAAGAGTATCCCTATTTCTCCATTATAGATAATATTTTTTTAGTTGAATGATTCGTGAGTTTACTCCTCTAAAATAAAAATGTGGGTTTAAGTTATGGACTGTGCCTTTTTTTTTAGTAGTATAACTGATAAAAAAGAAATCACACAATATGTTCTCTACAAATTTTTAAACTATGCATAATTATAAAATTAGATAAGCTGAAATGTATTGCCT